AATTAGTTCATAAACGTATTAAAATTCCTTTGGCACGAGTCTGATAGAATTGAATTATAATATAATGGAACAAACACATCGTTCCTTGCATAAATTTTAACTGAACCTTTTGTGCTCACGTTATAACATTAATTATAATTAAATTGACATATAGTAAAATATTTAATGTGAAAGGTTAAAAAGGTTTCAAAGTTTCATTACGTACTTCAAACATAACGAAATTTGAACAATCTCTACATATATAAGTCCAACTTTTACAAAAGATACAGTTTTCTCTTCAATAATTGCTTATAGTTTAATGAAATGAAATGTTAGTAAGTAATAATTATTTATAATGATTTAAATTAATGTCTACGTCACAGTTCTAAGCTTAACGTTATTTATGTACTAATATTTATTCTGAATTCTTAGGATAGTCCAGTAGCGCCATCTGTATATTTGAATAGCAGTGTAAATTAATGTTAATAACATTTCTGTATTGCAATTTAAATGTCCAAATACTTAACAATTGGTTTTAAATTTATAATTAGAGCCTTAGCATGTTTTACGTAATGTTAGGTGTTTTATTTAATGAAAACTCTTATGAAGGAAACTAGCGCCCAATGTTATAACCTACCCTCATAAATGTTCCCTATGAATATTATAAATAGGATACAAGTGTTGGACTGGGGATTCTGTTACGAGTTGTGGAGCATCTAAGTGGAAGTACTGCCTAAATTATTACTAACAGTAAATAATACAAGAACAATTAACGTATACGAAAAAACGTATTGTAAAAGAAATTCTTTCATGTTCGCATTTATGTAAACCATTGATGGAAAAAATGTTTTACTTTTAATACATAAAAAATATTTGAGACTGAAATTAATTTACTGGTCATAGATACTTAATTATTATTATTAAATATGAGCGTCAAAAAATTTAATAAAAAATATAGCTAACGCTGAAAACACCAGACGGATTAATTATTAAGTAAATTTGATATTAATTTCTCATCTCGTAAAACGAAGCCACTGTCGAGACAATTTATGTTTGAGCGACAGAAATATGAGCGGTCATAAATAAAATAAAAAACCTCATTCTAAATAGTCCCTAACAATCAAAGTTAGATTTTAACATAGCAAACATTAAAAATTCGTCATTGTTCTGTAAAAGAGAGATGGGAGACTCTTACGGAAGAGTAAAAATAGAATTCAAATAAAACGTGCAAAAAATTATTAAAGCTTTTTCACCTGCTTCATTTGTCGGCCGAGAACGAATACAGTTTTATGACAGTGTTTTTTTTTGTTTAGAATAGTTTGTTTTTATTGAGAACACCTCACAATAGCACGCTTGGAAGTTTGCCAGTTTTAAAAGTAGCTGAATTAATAACTCTTACGTATTGTAATATTACATAATATATTTATGTTTATATTTTGATAAAGTATATAAACAGGTTAATTTTCATACAAAACTACCGATGCATTTTATCAAACGATATGTTTTGGACTACCAAAGCTTTTATCAAGAGCTCTCGAATCCACGTCACCGGTCATTGACATTGACATTTCAAATGACGTCAATCGAGATGCAGATTATAAATAACGATTGGGATTTAAAAATCGATTAAAACGTGCTTATAATTGATGTATAACTTCATGTGAAACGAATAGTTATTCGGGGTTCGCATAACAAACTTTTATCTCTGAAGAGCAAGCGATCGCGTAGAAACATAATACAGTTAAGAACGCTGTATGTACTCAGAACAGAATGGTTAGTACAAATCTAATGGAGTGCACAGCGGGCAGTGTGGCTTTATGGTCTCCAATAGAGGCTTCATTTGTATCAAACCGACTTTACGTCATCAAGCGTATACATGATATACTGCAGTATAAACAGAATGACATCTCTACCGTTTAGATAGTCATTAAGATCTGCAAAATCCACGAATTTATATCCATATGTAGTAAATTAATTAAAAATAAAATATGCTTTATACCCTTTATTACTAAGTTCACAGTTGTGTAAATATTAACTCCGCTAATAACAAATTAAGCATGACGTTTTCTATGTTCTTGTTAGAGAGATTAAATCTCAAAATATAAAATTACGTATAAAACATAATGAAGTCATGTAACAAGTATAATTTATTAAGTGTATATGCTTTACGTTTTAGTACTTCTGTCATATTACTACTTATTCTAATGACGTCATAGATTTGTTAAAGTACCTAACTAAGTTTAACAAATCAGTTAACTTTATTATTCAGTTATAATAACTGTCGCGACATGTTAGTTAGGTTTCTAACTACGAAGTACATAGTCGGAGTTCACTTCGTTAGATATTAATTCAGTTAGTTCGTATAATCTATCGGAAAATCCAATTATTTGCGATGTATGAGCAAACTGTACTGCGGCGAGTCATCTGCCTTACATACAATATATGTACATATATATCCTCTTTAGATACAATATATTATATTACACATATATTCCTACACTATAAAGAAGTTTTGTTTAGAAATTTTAAGTAGTTATAATAAAAATCACTATGAAACTTTGATGAAGCGTAATAATAATGAAATATTATGGTCAGCGTATTCAACACTACAGTAATAGTTTTTCCTGTAAGTGTTTATATTTGATGTTTTCTAGTTGGAAAATTTTTCAACGCGTATTAATATTTTATTAAACCAACACTGTCTTTGATGAAAATTTATGAATATTTAACATTTTATACGCTCGTGTGAGCGTATGTGCGATATTTTATTTTATTTTAAATGAAGTATGCAAACCATACAGAATATTTAAACTGTTTTCTCTCAAAATTACTTTAAATGTATAAATTATATACGTTGTAGTCCTCAATATAGTTTATTTACCCTAGAATTAATTTGAGGTGTCTTTGTCACGATAATTGTTAAGGAATCTTCATATAAAACTGTTGACTTATGGCCTCACTCGGGTTTATTGACCTCTATCATTTGTTATGAATACTTGTGATTAATATGGGTATTGTGGGCATAATTTTCTTAGCGTCATTAGGATCTTATTCTTTTGTTACAAATTTTTACACAAAAAAGGAAAAGTATACTATGTATATACAGGGTGACTGGTGAATCACTATCAATATTTTAGGAGAATACTCGGTACATGATTCTCATGCGAATTATGTAAAAAAAATAGGCACTTAATTTTTGACCAAATTTCCGTATAAATAAATAAAGGGTGGACACGTTCCAAGTGTTCCAAGTGTGGACGCGTGCGGCGGCGTGATGATACAACACCACGCCGTCGCACGCGTATGTGTGAGTGTGTGTGTATACCTAATCTGTAGGGTGTTCACACGATGCGTAATTAATTACATAAATTTTGGTTAACTTTACTCAGAAGTTTATTAATATTTATGTTATATTAATTTTTATTTTGTCATATATGATCGTCAAATATCACGTCCTCACCAGTCACCCTGTATATACACATATATATAGGTGTGTGTATAAATGTTTTCTTTTATACATTATTTATGAAATTACACACACATTTATAGGTATGTTTATGTATGTGTGTGTGTGTATTCATTTGAAAGCGTCTGTAATATAAGTTGTGACTTAACGATTTCAAAAAGATAATATCATCTATTTTAAGCAAAAAATTCGTTTAAATTAACACAACTTATAGACTTTATAATTAAAAAATGTTCATTATGTTTATATGAAATAATCAACATTAATTATAATATTAATACATATAAGGCTCTTTAAGAATCGCTTCATTAGTATCGAATACAAAAAAACATAAACTGATATAAAAAGTTTTTATTATTATTACATAATGTTTCATAATATTAATCGTATATGTTATACGTCCCGTCTCTAATCTCATTTGACCTTAAGTTCTATGTAGCTTTGGAGAATTTACTTTAGGGCTGCGTAATTCAATTATGGTGTCAACTTAAAAGGGTTTCATTTAGTTTTCACATTCTTAACAAGATTTAGTAAAAAATAAACAAATGAACAACAAAAAGAAGTATTCTATATAAATATAACTCACAGACTATACAAATAAATGGTCAAATATTTTTTTTAATTCATTTAAATGAATAAAAAATGATTAATTATGCATGCATATTTTATTCGATATCAAATTATATTTTAACCGCGAACATGCACGTGTGGACGGGTTGCGAATTTTATGCCTTAATTAATATGTATATACTATATAAAGCGAAAACTTAATTCATTGCCCACATCAATACATACAGATACGTGAAATATGAGCACAGATAAAAAAACAACATCAACTAGAAAGCTGTTACAGATAATCAAAAGAAAAGTGTATCAGTATATATACATTTTTTTTGATGTATGCGTTTATAGAACTTTTTTGATAATTAAGTACTTTTAAGTAATGTTGTTGACGTGAAATTTGTATTATGATACAATAAGAACACAATATAAGTACTTAAGAAAGTCCTGAGAAATGACCCTAAGTCCTTTCTACAATGAAAAGTAAAGTTGCATCACTCCTAATTTATCTGAAGTATTATTTCTGCGGAATCCGTATGTACATCTTCGATCATAAATATTTGTAGAGTTCACAGATTATATTTGGATTATTTATCTGACCTCCATTTTATATTCTGATACAAAAATAATACAAACTGGATGATTGTTTTATTTTGAGGTAGAAATAACATGTACAATTGTTTCAGGCTTCAGTATTATCTTAGTTTTGTTTATAGAAATTAGTAGTTCAAATAAATAACTTTTCCTCGTATAAAATTATACGAAGTCAATTATTTTGCAACAACACAGATGTAATTCTTGCAATTGTATTGAATATAAATTTAGAATTCTCACTACATGTTCAAGTATTTTTGGGAACAAAATTTCATATAGACACCGTAAACTTTAGCATAAATGTTGACTGGTTTGTCAATTTGCTAGTTTAATACAATTTGCTTATACATATAAATGTATCCTTAATAAGTAGTAGCTAAAGTTTATTTTCGTTTGCAGGATGCCGGCGCTCCGGCTTCTAGGGCGCAAGTGGCTGGCAGCCTCCGATGATCTTGTGTTTCCGAGCATCTTCGAACTTCTCTTCCGATTCGTCTGGTAAGTTTAAGTCTAGTCACAAAACATACAACTTGTAGTTTAACGTAAAATTTCTATTCCAAGCGATAACAGAGGCTTTTTATTATCTTTATAAGTAATCTATAAATAGTGGTCTAATTATATGTAAATAACAGAAGCCGACAAGGCGAATGTCAATTAATTACAATATACACAAAGCCGTTCAATGACAAGAATTATAAATAATGTTAATATTAAAATAGGTATTTAGTATCCATTTTAATAATAGCCTGGCCACGTTAGCCTAGTTTAAATGCCCAAGGCTCTATCTCGGATAGTGCTTCTAAGAACGAATTGAAGGCTCGCAAAAATGTAGCAATATTACGCTCACTATGTGTGTTTACGTCTTAAAGCCTTCGTGTAATATATTTTTATAAAGCATTGACTTGATGGAGGTAAATACGCGATACAATTTTGAACCAACATAAATAACATGTCAATTTGATATGTAAATATTTATTTCAAGCGTATAGTATTCAGAAGCAATTTACTTGAGAAAAAATGAGTTTATTTCTCATACTTCTGTAATACATTATAGGATTGAAATAATCTTTTCCTTGTTAATGTTAGTGAAATTTTCATCGAAATATAAGTAGTATATTGTGATAAGAACCAGAAATAATTGAATTAAATTTCAGCATTATTTGTTTGGATAAAATATCATAATTTTTTTCACTATAAACGCTTTTATACTATCTATTAATTATTATCTATTATAATTTATATGCTTTTAAATTTTACTTCCAATTGTATCTTGTTCTACTTAAGTGATTAAAGCCTACGTCACCCGAAGTCATTAGCCGATGAGTTATTAATTTGTCACTATTGAAATATCAACGATAAAGGGAAAAAATGGCACTCGCTTTAATTAATAGACGTAATAATGTTAAGGATAGGCGATATTCCAACTATTTTTAACTTGATTAATTATTACTATGTTAAATTGAAAACCACTTGCGGTTAAAATTTATTTCGTCTCTACGATATAATTGTGAAAATGTGTTACTTTTTTGATAGTTTTATTTATGTAAAGACAAAAATGTTACTACCATACTGTCACACTAAAAATTATCGATAGCAAACTTATTAAAAAATTTGTATTTAAGCTTAAGTCAATTATATAGGGTGGCAACCGGAGGTTCCAGGAAAATTATGAAACATACTTACTTATATGTATATTAAAATACGACTTACATTTTAAAACTTATAACCTATACCTAAGACTACATGATTGTCCCGATGTTAGGATGACAATGGCATTCTATTGCTTGTGTGGTATGTGGAATCTTCTGGTTCACACGGCTTGGTGTTGGTTCCGCGGAGTCAGCGGCGTCACTCGTTATACGATATTTTACCGATACAAAGATGTCGCCCCGGCCATCTTCATAATTTTTTTCTTCATATGTAGCGCATACGTAACAAGTCTTTAAATATTTATTATTATTTGAAAAAAATAAATATTCATACAATGTTATGATATTCAGTCTTTGCTTTCATTTCATACAATCTAAATGAACTTTCTCTATACTTCGCTATTAACTTCGCTGACCTTCTGCTCTGTCGTCTGATTGCTTCATAATGTCTTTTAAATTGCCACAAAATCGTTTTGATTGCCATTATTTGATGCTCAAGTCCTTAACTCGCTCCGGACATTTCATTAGTTTTGGTCGTCGTCTGCTTATTATTCAATTCATCGCTTAGTTGACACAAAAAAATCTATTGTATATAATTTTTTTTGGTACTTATTTATTCTTTGCCTTTTTTGGGCTTAAAAGTTTTACCTGAAATTCTAGTTTTTGGGTTTTTGGGATTACGTTATTCGTTGTGTTCTATTAAGACATTTGTTTCATATAGGTTGGTGCTCATTGCTCTGGTGGTGGAAGTCTTGTATCCAATAACATGGCAATGCGAAACCGACGGGTGGCATGGGGGAGCCTTCGTGAGACTCTATCTGTGCGGCACGCTGGCCCTACAAGCGTGTTTAATGCTGCTCCTAGCAGCACTGGCGCAGCAGTCAGCGAGAGGAACTATTACGGATACAGATTCGAGAAAATTGGTTGCACCGTTACTGCTGCTAAAGTAGGTTTAACGCTTATAATTCTACAACTTCCTGTGCGAAATAATATTATAAACATCATGAGTTTTCGTATTAATAACTTTGATAGCTGCTTACAGATATATCCTAAAATATACATAAATATACTGACAATCTAAATAAGTAGTTTCGCATCGTTAATTCAGTGCAAAGTAAAGGAAGGCATGTACATTTAATTGTTGATTCTCGTTTTGTTTTACACGAATCCATTTTTTTTTTCGTTTATTGCCTAAGGAAATTATCATAACCATTAATACATATATTTTAAAATATTTGATGAAATAACGTAAATATTTTGTTGCAGAGTATTTTTGGTTTTACCAGAAGTTGGTTTAAACGTGATGGGTACTATGTGGATGTTCTGCGAGGTCGTCAAATGTACAGTCACCGATAAATTCTCTAGTATTGTAATACAAAGTAAGTATTTTATATGTTTACACAAGAGAACAGTGCAGGTCGTCTGTAGCAGGTGTTTACAATGGACTACTTTGTGATTTTACGATCAAAACATTTTCTACTGCAACAGCTCTTTATATCGCGACGTTTATAGAACGAATATAACATTTAATCTGATTTGATCAAATTAAAATAGAAATAGATATAAAATTATGAATATTTTTTAGGTATAGTACTGTTTAATTGGGTCCAACTGGGACTTACGGTGTTCGGACTGTTCATGGTGTTTGATCCGTTAGGATCAGTCAATTATGGTGACATTCAAGATACTCCGAACCAGGTCAGGCATCATAGGAAAGTTACCGGCTTATGGTCGAGAAGGTTTCGTTGGGCATTCTGCTGGTTGAAGAGAGATGAACACGGAAAAGAGGCCTTCCAACAGGTCGCAGGTAAATAAATAAAAGAATTAACCATATTTAAAGGAATTTTGTTTAGAGAGACATACCTGAAACTGATCATACTCATACAATAGTATGTTTTCAAGAATGAGATCAGTTCGTTGTTTAGAAATACAGAAATGAGAAGCTGAAAACATCGTAAAACTGTTTATGTTATGCAAATTATAGGAACGATAAATAATGATTTACAATCACCCTTGCTTTTTATTAGGGTAATAAGAACTTTCTTCATATAATACAGTAGACTGAATTACAAATAAACAAGACGAGGGCTAAACAATAAATACTTCTAATATTGTACTTTTTTATTTGTCAGACATAACGAATGAAAAATTCGAAGTAAAGTGAACACAAAAATCACCTAATTTGTATAAGTTTATATATATTACTCGAGAACAAAGTTTAGTATAAATATATTTAATACAATTTATGATTAAGGATAAATTTCATTAACACAATACTCAAAGACCTTTGCGTCTATAGTGGCATATAATATTTTCAATTTGAAAACGGTGTTTGCAGTTCAAATTCATTCGTAAATCTAACATAGGCAAACTAAACTGAGACATCGCCTCTTTCATTTTTAATAGGTTTTGTTCGCACCTGGGCTTTCATAACAAGGTTTAGCATAAATCTTTTCTTTGTAAATTTTATTGAGGGTATAAAAAAACTATTATAATAAAAACAAATTTTAATATACTTTTACATTCAATTTCGTAACGTTTATTTAGGTTCGGATATTATGTCATGATAACCAAAACATAATTAAACAAGAAATATTTTTGTTCAAACTTAAAAGGGAATTTGTATGCTCGAAAATTTATTTAGTTTCAAGCTAAAACAACTAATATAGTCAATAGTATTTTGTGTATTTATTAATATATTTTGTGTCATAGCACTCCTGAGTGCTTTATTCAGGTCAACGGACTTGGTGCCGTCAGATGTGGTTGCTGGTTGCGTTCTCCTCAGGGTGCGTCAGAAACGAGAGACGAGGGAGATGCGTAGGATACAAATGTTGAATGACGAGGAACCGATTTATACGACCGATGTCAACAAAATATTCTCGGAAACTCCTCCTTGGATGAACTTAGAGGATGCTCTGCATTATCTTCGACTGTCGATAGCGGCGTACGGCTGGCCTTACGTATTGTATCGCCATTGTTTCACTGGGTTCTGTAAATTAGCCAGTCATTTGACCTGTTGCTGTTGCAGGTGAGTTTTTTCTATATAACATTGATTATTCAATACTCTTTTTGTCTAAGTTAAGAGAAATCATTTATGTAATCATATTAAACAATCAACTTCAATCAACAAGTCGTGATGTATGGACACAAATGTAATCTTTCAGGCCAAAGAATTCTATAGTGACTGACGACAATTGTTGTCTGTGCCACTTCGCTGGAGTCAAATACATGTCAAAACTCTCAGCAGATGACATCATCTTCGCATCATTCAACAACCGCGTCTTTGAAGTACGTTCAACTTCAACTTATTGATCAATGGATGCTTCACTAAATTGCTTACGACCATTGCCACGAATCGTTAAAAAGTCACTCAAATGACAAATCAATTTTATGATGCTCTTTCTTGACACTGAGAGTCTGTTCAATGTAAAAGTTTTGCTAAGAGATTTCATTTAAATAATATTCTATTCAGTTACGTCACTGCGAAAAAGACATCATTAAATTATAATCATTTGAATTAATAACCGTGGATTCGTAGACATAATAGCATTAGAAGATTATAGCAATTAATTATTTGTTTCTTGCTCGCTAAGACTTCTTTAATTGTTTATTTGATTAAATTTTACAAAAACTTTTAAATATTATTATGACTAATTATATCGAGGTCAATGACCGAAGTATATATTGTATCTATTTTTTTTATGTATTAAGTAATTTGAACACCCCTACCATCCAATCTCTCTCCTCTACCAAAGGTTGCCTGGAAGAGATCGCTGTTTTAGCGATTAGGCCGCCTATTGTACATTTTTCACTTCTTTGTTTTACTCCTATTATTTTTGTCTATATTGGTGTGCAATAAAGAGTATATAAATAAATAAAATAAATAAATAATAAGAAAAATATATAATTTATACGACATATCAGAGCTAAAAATGAAAAAAAAATGTATTAAATTTGGTAGATATTATGTTAGTTATAATAATTCTCCCTCATTACAGCTACCGTTTTGTGTGATAGCTGATCACGATCGAGAAAGCATAGTAGTGGCTGTTCGAGGCTCAATATCTTTGAGAGATATTTTCACAGATTTCTCCGCCGGTTCCGAAAGATTCGAGGCTGATGGTAAGGGATTCAGTTAATGATGATTACACTTATAATAAGATAGCAACAAGAACGGACCCTAACAGTAGATAATAACCTTACTTAAAAATATATTTCGTGTCTACTGTTTCGGAGTAACGTAATTACACTAATGGACTATAAAAAATGTACATTAAAACTTAGAACAAAAAATATCAATTGTAAAATATTTTTTTCGTTTAAATAATGACATATTGAGTACTTTTGTACATAATTATATTATTTTATAGGTCTACCAGAAGATACAGCAGCCCACAAAGGCATGTCTATGGGAGCCGCTAAAATGCTGCGTCGTCTTCTGCCAGTACTTGATAGATCATTCCAACAATTTCCACAGTACGATCTTGTTTTAACAGGTACTATACTCATTATAGCCTTTAATAAATTGGTCAAACATCGCTTTATATTCTAATATTTTTTCAGGTCATAGCTTAGGAGCCGGTGTAGCAGTATTAGTAGCATTAAAGTTAAGACCCAAGTATCCACATCTGAAGGTGTTCGCGTTTTCAACACCAGGTACAAATATTTACACTATTTCTGACAAATTCTACTACAGTTTTACGTATTTTTATTTGCTGCTGTTCATATAATTAAGTTCTTATTTTAACTAGCATAAGATAAGTTAAAACTGCTATAAATTATGAATATATATTAGTGCATATCGATATTTTTTTTGCCGACTAGAAAACTAGATATAAATATTAATTAGATTATGTATTTTCTTTTTTCAATATAAAATCAAAGTGTTCTATAAGAATTCCGAAAAATCTGACAATATTACACATTAAAATATTCTCAATAACAAGGCGTAAATTTACTTTTTATTTTATATTTAATGAATATTTAAGGTATTAATATGCCATTATTATAATATCTAGCGGGTCTGATAAGTCGTGAAGCGGCACGTTTCACTGAGAGCTTCGTGTTGAGCATCGGCGTGGGAGACGACCTTGTGATGAGGCTTAGCGTGCACAGCATCGAGAACCTGCGCACGAAGGTCATACAGACCATACACGCGACCAAGCTACCCAAGGTAATGAGCCTCAAACAATATATATATACTAGCTGCGCCCCGCGGTATTACCCGCGGATTTCCGGGATGTAAAGTAGCCTATGTCTTATTCCTGAACGTCAGCTTCCTGTATACAAAAATTCATCAAAATCGGTTGAGTCGTTTGAGCGTGAAGAAGTAACAAACACACACACACTCACAAAATTTCGTAATTATAATATTAGTAGGATTAAACATCAATATATAGTTAGAAAACTGACAGACTTTGGTCATTAAAACGATTAGTCATGTTGGATATGGATTTTTAGTAAAATTATGTAGGATATGAATTTTTTTGAACAAAACTTTGGTATATTTTCCATTTAAATAAGTCGGTTTTAAATAAAAGAATATTTTTCTAATATTAAATTTAACTTCACGAAATCAGACGTATTATAAGCACATTAGAAGCTTTTAAAAGTGAACTCGCCACATATACGTGTATCCGTGTTAAAAATAGTAAAACCCAATTTTGCATTGCAAACTAGCAGAAGTTTTATTCAGGCCACATTGTTGACGTATTTTAATTCAATTAAAAGACCATAAATATAAATCTTCATTCTCATTGCTCAAAAGGTTGTTATGACTTTTATAAGGAGAGTGAGTTTACTATATTCGGTTTGATTTCTACCTACCATAAGACTGGACTGGACTTTCGAATCAAGCACTATCTATTTTTCATTGCAATTGCAATTTCATGGTCCCTCTCGATGGTAACTTAGCCCATCAAATATAGTCACGTGGTATAATTTCGATTGGAACGCCAGCTTAAATTAAAACAGCTTCAATACAATACATTGTTTAGGTTAAGAGGCTCAAACAGAAGCGTCAAATATACATTGATTAGGTTTATACCTAGTTTTACGTAATAAAGTATACACAAAGCCAATAATTGTTTCAGTACCGTATAATGCTGAACGGTTTCGGCTACGCGTTGTTCGGTGTGCCAGCCAGAGACCTGGAATCCACTTGGAGGCGGCCCGAAGACCTGGAAGCAAATAACTCAGATGATTCCGACGCGCTGCTAGTACAGGGCGTGTCCACCGTGAGTGCTGTCAGTTAACATTTATATAATCTAAGTGTTGAGCTTGGGATCATGTTGTGTACTTAAAAATCCAGCTGTATTTATTTTGGTTTGTAATCATTTATTTGTTCTGTGTTGTCCTGCTTTTTTTGTGCTTAATCATTTTGTGTTGTTTTAATATATACCTGATATAATTGAAACTAATATTTTCGGATAAAATTACATAATCCCGACGTTTCGGTTACTTTACAGCAACAATGATCACGAGCAGATGAAATGTTATAAATGACATTCTGACGTAGTAATCTCAAAATATTAGTTTCAATTAAATGAGTACTCCTGAAAGTCTTATATCTCATTATACTACGTCACATTTTTTTGTTGGAATTTATAATAATAAGAATAATTCCAATGACAAGTCATTTAATGGGTGTACATATTACTAGGGGTGCTAGTGTAAATTTTGCCAAAGTTTGCAATTAGCTATAACCGATATTCCTTTCTGTGTTTAATAATAATGTAAAAATAACATTTAGATTTCAATATACCAAGTTAGTAAAAGAAATAATAAACTGGATAACAATTATAAACATATCACACTTCCGTACTTCGATTTGTCTAAATTAATAAAAATAATTCCTAAAAAAGATATATAGTGAAAGTATATTATTTGTTGAACAGTTACGATAAATATGTATATCTAATCCTTAAAATCTATCGGTGTGTTTATTGTACTAAGTTACTAACAAATTGTTTGACACTTGTGGGTGAGTGATGTTAACTTTATGGATGTCTCCTGTCATATTCTAAAATATATTTTTTCAATATAGGAAGCAGCTCTGGTATCTCGTAACGTATTCGCTCGAAGGTTCTCATCAGCTCGATTATTCACCGCTGGTCGGATACTTCACATTGTTCGACGCAAGCGCATGGGAATAGAAAAGTACGTATGGTCATAATAAATTTCACGTATAAAAGTTATAAAACTATTTAATATAATTATTAATTTTGTATGCAATATTATATTCTGTATATAATAGAAATGTCTGCAAGGTGAGGGGTTATGAGGCTAGGTTTTAGTCTAGCCTTAGTCGCAGTTTCTCCTGAAAAAAAAAAACAAAATCAAGCTCTAAACTATATGTAATATTATGAAACAATATTAAATCATTGAAATCTAAAATGTTGAGATCAACAATTTGAATCTTTATATGAGATTATTAGAAAGACAAAAACATATCAGACCTTAGTCTATCTAAGTCTAGACTTAGGCAGATTTTGTTTAACCGTTAATAAAATCTCTGAAATTAACCTTAGAAATTTCTATAAATATAATAATAATTTTTCTTTATCTCATGTCTGAACAGCGAAGGGGATGAGGAACGGTAATACCAAAACATTATTTATTTAAAACTATTTCTTCGAACATTATACCTACTAAAATTTTCAATTATAGGAAAGTGCGCACACAAGAACCAACTTACGAGATGAGGTGGGCGTGTCCCGAGGACTTCATGGAACTGCAAGTGATGCCGAGAATGCTTTTGGACCATCTACCAGAAAACGTCCATCGTACGATACAGACGGTGATAGAAGAAAAACATTCGTACAGAGTGACCCAGGTAGTGTAAATAAACATGTAGGTACAAATACTATTAAACATTTGTATTACAATAAGTGGAAGCCAAATTAAGTACAATTTTATTAGAAATCAGTTACAGTGTACAATAAGAATTCTGTCTTGAAAAAATACATATATTTTTTATAATTTTACAAAAGCTATAATGCACCTGTCTTATTAAAATGTCAATGGAGTTTCTATGACCTATTTAAGGCGACACTTCCCAAAAACGATCACTTGTTTTTCTTTGAAAATAATGTAATATTATTATATGTAGTGATTAGTAGAGTAATGATGTTTTTCCGGCAAAATCATGACCAACATATTATTTTTATTTGTAAATATATACTGTGTAATAGACATGTAAATATTAATTTTATATTAAGTATATAAGTGAACCGATTTGGTTTTATGTATTTGAGAAGACTGTGGTGATGTAATAGAAGGACGAACAAAATGAAAATCGTGTGTACAATTTTATATTTAATGTTTTGTCCTTAAATGTGAATACACTTATTGTTAGAGTTAAGACATGTAGAATACGTGAAACGTTCTAATTTTCTTTAGTGTTAATAGGTAGCGAATTTTCATATAAAAATTTTGCTTGCTTGAGAGTTAAAAACTCGCATTTTATTTGCTCAATCGAAAGCAATTTTTCATATAATTATTGTACGTAGTTATAATTCTTATACTTGTACAATTTGCAGGCTAAATTTTACAAATTTAAGTATATTTTCTTGAATAACACAGTATATGTATTAAGTACAATGATTAGTTAGCGTAGGATACTGACACCGGTGTCAATTATGTAAATAAATAAATAGTTTCATTTTATTATTTCACTATATATAAAGAAACCCTTAGCTAAATATTCCTACTTATTTCTTATAACAAGAGATCAAAATCTATTTTAAAACGGCGTTAGAATTAAAACTGGATTGACACCTTCTTTGATGTTTTTTAAATATATTAGATTCATACAATTGAATATTTAAATTGAACTTTTTTATTCATGCACGCCAAAGGTGCACAATGTATTCTGCCAACATCAATTATAATGGTGAAGATATGATGTTTGACAGACAAAATTCTTACTCATTAAATAAATAAATGGTTCATAATATAAAGCTGTCAGGAATAAAATATTTGTATATTTATTTTTATTTATTCTGCCATGACACAACAGAACAATTGTTACTATAAACAAAGGCTATAACGTAATTACATCTGTTTTATTACTATTTTTCTTCTGTATAGTGTTGAATAGTCTGTCCTTATTAAAAAAATCTATGTCATGTAAAATTATACCTCTACCCTTACCAAAAGTTTGCATCTTAAAATTATGTACCAAGAGTTTAAAGTTTTCTTTGATAAGTGATTGTTCATGACAGTATTAAATTAAATATTTATAAATAAAAAAGTATTCACTATATGAAATTAATTTGAAGATGCAAATTTGTTGTGAGTTTAGGCTGGTGACACACTAAAGTTATCTTCGCCGACCAATATCAGAACTTTAAATGACAAGTCACCGAAAACTTTTACACAAATTAATAAATAGAAATGAAATTTTATATGATCGCAAACATTGGGAGCAAATTAAGAGAACTTATATAATTAACTGAATATTTTCTCTACAAGACCATTACGTATGGCATTTATATAGTAGGCGTTATACATTCCAATTTGTATAGATTTTTTTCTTAAGTTAATTTTCTTGAAAATCCTACGATAGTTTCTTGGTGCCTTAAAGGTTTTATTATTTAATATATTGAGTTCCTCAACATCAGTCAATTTGTATTTCTCTTGCCAAATTAAAAAAGTACTTCCTAGATACTTTTTGTCCTTATAACCTTAGTTATTCAAACAAAATATTTTATTAATATGAACAAAAAGAACTCATATATGTAGTACCAAACTATGTTATATACAAATAGTTACAAAACGAATCTCATTTGCTATAATGATTAATAATAATAATAAAAATATTTATATTGTAAGAATATTTTTTTATCTAAAGAGCCCTCTCTTAGATTATATAGATGTTACTTAATAGATTGTGTTCGAGTATTAGAAGGACAGTGGTTCTTTTCACTTGTACCCTAAATTAGGGCATTATCGGTCACTGTTTTAGATGTAGCCAAATCATGTGTTGGGTTTATGTTTATTTATAATAAAATATATTTTAACAATTACTGTCTTTTATTTATAAATCTTAAAACCATAAATCTATGACGCAGAGAAATAATAACGAAGTAATTTCTAAACAATATATATTACTAAAAAAAGCTATAAAAATACATTTTCAGTCCACATATCACAGAATAATAATTTTGATAATATAAAAGATTAGACTTATATCAAGCGATTAATATAAAACATGACTGGAATAAAATCTATATATGGAGATCTTATTGATGAAGTTTTTTGAGCCTGTATCATCTCATCAGTGAACGAAGTTCAGCCATCGCTGATTGGGACACTTGAGTTTTGTTCTTCTCGGATTTATATCTGTAATAAAAATTATATACAATTAAACTATATTTATGGACGTCATTTTGTTTATATTCTATGACTATAATTTTTACCCAAAATAACCTGTGTTATTATTATTTCCATTAAAATGTTGCTATATATATTTTTCATACGACGTGTAGATTATGTAACACCAACTGTGATGATAATAATGTAACATCAACTTATCAGTTAATATTCCTGTTTGCCATTAACAAAATCCAAAGGCCAACGACGTATGACATACATACATCTTGGGTATACTGGAAGAAATCTCTTCTAGGGAGAAGTATACCTTTTAAAATTCCCTAATTACGAATCCCTAACCATAAATAATATTAAACTCAAAAAATCAGAAACAGAAATGTATCTTGGTTTACTATTAGATTCCAAACTATCATGGCAACCTCATTTAGATTATTTGCAAATTAAAATAACATCACTGGCTGGAGCTTTACGCAGGTGTGTTCGATGTATTCCATATAAAGTTTGAACTATTATTTATAACTCATTAGTTAAACCCTTACTTGAATATTTAATAGAAGTATGGGGATCTGCACACAAAATTAATTTAAAATATTTACAAATATCATAAAACAAACCATTAAAAACACTACACCAACTGGACGACCGTTTTCCAACCAAAGAACTTTACAAGAAAACTGATACACTATCTATTGCACAATTATACAAATACAAAACATGCATACTTATAAGAAAAATTCTCTCAGGATCTATACACACACAAACTACTTTGAGGACTAAATCACATAAATACTATAAACGAAATATACATAAATTACAAATACCTAGAACTAAACATTATAGTAACAAAACTATACAATTTGAGGGAGCGCTAATGTACAATAATAATCTACCGAAAGAAATATTTAACGAAAAACCTTTATTGAAATTTAAGGCTAAATTAAAAACATACTGTCAAACTTTATAATATTTGAATGTTTGTATAAATAAGGTCACCATTAACTTTATAAATGTATATGATTATGTTACTAGTTTAAGTTTCCTATGTAAGTGAACTTTGTTCTTAATGGGAAATAAATCATCTCTAAACCTAAACTCATTTTTCCTGTGTCATATTTTTGTTTTAAATGTCTTAGGCATGTTTAATAAATAGTTAAATACATAAAAATTTATTTAATTGTAGATATTATTACATAACGATCGATTTAGGTCTTTACCTGTTAATAATGTCACAGGCTACGTCAGGTCTATAGACTGCCATATCTCGCAGGTATGCCTGGTCGTTATTGAGAGCACGTCGGTAGGCCAGCTCGCGCCACACACCGCCGCCCGCACCAGATAATAACACAAGACCTTCCATGAAACTGAAATATAAGGATTACATATTAAATAGATGGCAGTATTGACCAAAAAATTAAATATGGTAGAAAGGTGGATAATGTTTTCATACAATACTAGAGATTTTGAGAGAGAAGTGAAATCTCTAAATATAAACTTGGTCTCAAGTTGGTAAATGGAGACCAAAATGTTACGAAAAGTGTAAGTTTTTGCTAAGTTATATGATTTTTGATACTTGTTTACTGATGTGTAAGAGAGAACCCACCTCAAATAATCACTCACAAGCAAATAAGTTTGCTCGCTAGTTCTGTTTAAGATAAGTCTTGTTGGTGACGCGTTCAGTAATGAGATTTGTAACGCTATCTGTTGGGCGAGCGCTGCCATCGATCCCGCAAAACCTGTGCATCCACCTTGAAGGTATAACTCACACGCATCGGTGCAGTGATTTAGCGCTGTTTCTAGGAGAGTTCTCGTCGGGACATTATCGTGTATCATCAACCAAACTGGTTCGTTGGTCTTCTTCGAGGGTTTTGAAGCTTCCGCCATTCTCTCCAAATCATCTATCAGATGTAACGCTTGTTTCTTCTTCACATTAGCGGCCTCTGCGTACATATTGAAGTGAAGCGCCACCATGATGTAAGTATCTGTATCCCCGGGGCAATGGGTCTTCAGGAAATCCAACAAGCCATGCTTGAATTCAACTATTTTATCTTGTTGCTGGCCCAACATATAGTCGAATTGTCCGAGAAGGAATTCAAATTGATGATTGTCGCGCAATGCCTGAAAATACGTATATAATAGATAAATTTTTAGAAACATACCTAAATAACAATTCATAGGATACAACTAAAAAGTAAAAAAAATTAACACCTCTTATTCGAATCAGTGAAAAACTAAAATATATAAAATTTCAGCGTTGCAAAATTTTAGATCCGTACTTTGTGCTGTGAACGGTTGCCAACAAAACTTGGTAGAAAAAAAAACACTACATGCTTCCAAATTCCATATAAAATGTCTCGTAAAACCTTCATAAAACTTTATAAGACCTGTAGTATATACGCGCATTCCGTGTACCGCGCTAGGCCCGTGAGCAAGCGGACCATCAGCCTCCAAGAGCGCGACGCCAACAAACGAGCGCTGAGGGCTTGAGCGGACCTCAGACAGACCGCCACG